AAACCCTAAACCCTAAACCCTAAACCCTAAACCATAGAACAGCTGCAGCAGCGTCACAAGGAGAAGGGTTTAGGGTTTACAATCAGAGGCAGGTTTCTCCAAGACTGCAGCAGCAGCCGCTGAACCTCAGCACAGTGCATGTCGATCTCCTGCAACACCCAACCATAAACCCTAAACCCTAAACCCTAATATCTAAACCCTAAACCCTAGACTCTAAACCCTAAACCACACTAGCGAGGAACTCGCCATACGGCGGATAAGAACAACCCTAGAGGTGTACTGTTCTGTAAAACTAGGGTTTAGGGTTTGCAAACTAAGAATTAGGGTTTAGGGCTTAGGGTTTAGGGTTTAGGGTTTAGGGTTTTGAGGGTACCTGCAGCTTCTCCGTTCGCACCCACGGCCGAGCATCCGTCTCCAGCTGGCCCTTGGGGTACAGCACTTCGTGCAGCGACTGATAGGTCTGCAAACCCCAAACCCTAAACCCTAAACCCTAAACCCTAAACCCTAGCCTCAAGCTCTGAGCTGCAGCAGCAGCATACCCAGACCTGCGACCGCTAAATGCAGGAAGGCGTTCATACAAAGCTTAAACCCTAAACCCTAAACCCTAAACCCTAAAACCCGAGCCCCCCAACCTAAACCCTAAAACCTAACCCCTTCCCCCCCCCCTTAACCCTAAACCCTAAACCCTAAACCCTAAACCCTAAACCCTCGATACCTGGCATAGTTTAGTGGCTGGCTCGGTGATCTGATGCAGCTGCAGCAGCCTATCTATCTCTCCCCAGTGCTGCAGCTTTGCTGCGCACTGCAGCGACAGCTGAGAGCGCCGTGCTGCTGCCTGAGAAACCTCATGCAAAGAATTCCATCGATTCAACTCGCGGCAACAGTCAATCCATAGACGCTCCCTGCTCACAAACCACAAACCACAAACCCTAAACCCTAAACCCTAAACCCTCAAAATTCTAAACCCTCAAAAAAAAAAAAAAAAAAAAAAAAAAAAAAAAAAAAAAAAAAAAAATTAAGAATTTTATACTCCATACACCACGCTCACTTGCTGCGAAGAATAACAAACCCTAAACCCTAAACCCTAAACCCTAAACCCTAAACCCTAAACCCTAAAACTTACCACCATGTTACCTCCTCGCGCCGCTCTTCAGTCTCCAAACGCATTCCCTGCAAGAACTCGTAGAACCACGAAGCAAAACCCCTAAACCCTAAACCCTAAACCCTATCCTCAAACCCTAAACCCTAAACCCTAAACCCTAATTTGTTCACTTATACATCTTGATAGTATATCCTATTAGTGTGTATATTTAATCGTTTGCTGTATAAATTTTTGTGTATCCCATCCATACACATAATCTAATGTTTAGGGTTTATTTAGGGTTTATTTAGGGTTTAGGGTTTAGGGTTTATATAGGGTTTAGGGTTTAGGGTTTATATATAATATTACTTGTGTTTGTAGAGCTTTTAAGTTTGAAACAATAATATTTTTTGCTGCACCAAAGTGGTTATGTTGCATATAAGATAAAGCAGCAACCGTGGGGAGACAGTGCGCCCGGGTGTATATAACCCCAATACGGTAATCTGTCTCCTCTAGGTGTGCATACACCTCAGCTAGATGCTAAACACACACACAAACCCTAAACCCTAAACCCTAAACCCTTGAAACAATAAACCCTNCTCAGCTAGATGCTAAACACACACACAAACCCTAAACCCTAAACCCTAAACCCTTGAAACAATAAACCCTTGAAACAATAAACCCGCGAAACAGGATAAACACTAAACCCTCTGAACCCTAAACCCTCTAAACACTATAAACCCTAAACCCTCTAAACCCTATAAACCCTATAAACCCTATAAACCCTAAACCCTCTAAACCCTACAAACCCTATAAACCCTAAACCCTAGACACGAAGAAAAAACCAGTATCATAGAACGGGAACATAGTATACACCCTACACATTAAAAGTTTTGTCTAAACCCTAAACCCTAATACAATAAACCCTAAGAATACCACCGTAAACCCTAAACCCCAACAAACCCTAACAAACCACAAAGCCTAAACCCTAAACCCTAAACCCTAAAAATAACAGCTTACCGTTGCAGCCTTTCGCGCTAGGTTTGAGTACTGCTGCTGCTGCTTTTTATATGCTGCTAGCAGTGCTGCGTTTTCTGTGGTTTGTCCCTCAGCAACAGCAGCAGCAGCAGCAGCAGCTGCTGCTGCTGCTCCTGGGTCTCTCTCGGGCTCAATAGCATCATCAAAGAAGCGGTATTTTCTCAAGCCGAAATCTACAAAATTTTCTTCTTGCTGCTGCTGCTGCTGCTGCTGCTGCTGCTGTTGCTGCTGCTGCTGCTGCTGCTGTTGTTGTTGTTGCT